AACCTTCTGGAACATTTATCGTTCGACCCTTGACCTCCCAACCTCCCGTCTTGAGGAACCTACTGGAACATTCATTGTTCAACCCTTGACCTCCCAACCTCCCTCCCTGAGGAACCTTCTGGAATATTTATCGTTCGACCCTTGACCTCCCGTCTTGAGGAACCTACTGGAACATTCATCATTTGATCCTTGACCTCCCAACCTTCCTCCCTGAGGAACCTTCTGGAACATTTATCGTTCGACCCTTGACCTCCCAACCTCCCTCCCTGAGGAAAGTTCTGGAACATTTGCCCATCAACCCTTGACCTCCTCCCTCTCCCCGCCCCCTCCAACCAATGGGACGGCTCCTGGAGTGCGGTCAGCGCCATTTTGTCGTCAAGAGTTTTGGGGCTCTCCTTCCTCGGGAACGCGTGTGACCGGTTAAAATGTTTATTTGTTCACGCGTGTGCGTGTACACACTTTGTGTCTGTATGCGTGCGCATGTGTCAATAATAAACACCCCGCCCGGCTCCCAGTCTCTGACTCGACTCCTCCTTGCTGACTCATTCACAGACGAACCAACTTGGGGGGGTTTTGGACGGCTGGTGGTGGGGGGGGCCGCGAGAACAACAAGGAGGGTCGGACAGTTCCTATTGTTTGGGCGTCTCCAGCAACACCTTCCCCACTCACTCAGTTCCAGCCCGGTCGACAGAATGGAGTAGGACGTGGTTTAGGGGCTAAAACGTTGGCGTGGTTCAGGGGGACAGGATGGTGATCAGATCCACTGTGGCAGGAAGGAGAGAGCGAGCCAGTGACAGAGAGAGAGAGAGAGAGAAGCAAAGGTCCACTGTGCAGAGGGGTCTGGGTGACCTGGGACATGACTCTCACAAACTCAGTTCGCAGTGATTGGGAACGCCAATGGGATCTTGCTGCTCACTCTGAGGGGGAATGGAACAGAAAAACTGGTGTGATCTGCTGTGGTGAAGTCATCTTTGGAACTGTGTCCACTTTCCACCCCCTCATTTAAGGAAAGTTATCCAGACATCGGAGGCAGCGCAGAGAAGGTTCGCTCGGCTGATCCCGGGTAGGGAGGGACTGCCTCACGAGGAGAGGGGGAGTCGGTCGGGCCTGTACTCGTTGGGGTTTAGAGGAATGAGGGGCGACCTTATAGGAGCAGACAGGGTTCTTAAGAGGGGGGCAACAAGGAGAGGTTGCTACCCCCTGGTGTGGGAGAGTCCAGGACCCAGAGGGGGCATCATCTCAGAGCGAGGGGGTCGCCCACTGAAGACGGAGAATGGGGAGGAATTTCTTCTCTCTCCGAGGTGGGAGTGAATCTGTGGAATTCTTTACCGCAGTGGGTGGGGGGCGCGGCTATCGGGGCCGGGTCATCGATGATACTCGAGGCCGGGAGAGAGAGGGGATTTTAATCAGGAAGGGGATCGAGGGAGAAAAGGCAGGGAAGTGGGAGTTGGGGATGATCAGTACTGATTGAATAGCGAAGCAGACTCAATGGGCTGAATGGCCTACTTCTGTTCCCACGCCTAATCTGCTTTGAGTGATGTTAGCTCGAGTGGTACAACCCACCAGCCGTCCCTGCCTCTCTCGGCAGGATCTTTTACACGTGGCAGATACATCACTCAAAAGTCACAACCCCTAGTTGTGCAGCACTCCCCCCCACCCCCCGCACTGCTGCCACAGTTTGGGATCTTTCTGTGCAGCAGCACAGAGTCAGTCCTGCCAGCCTGGTCTCCACAGCGTTCAGGCTGTGGCCAGATCCAAATCCTGAAACAGACCCACCAGATCACCGATTCTGTACAGATGATTAACCTTGACCCAGTTACACACACTGAACACATACCCAGGTGAACAACACAGCAGACTGCGCAGGAGATCAGCAGAGAGGGAGACGCAGAGACAGAGAGGGAGAGGGAGATGCAGAGACAG